TAACACTGTATCACATAGGGGACTTGTAATTAAGTAAAGGAAAAAAAAGTTTGAAAAAAATAAGAATAAAATAAATGTAAAAAAAATATATTTTCTAAGTCCCCCCGCCCCACCCCGCCCCGTGCATTAACGTAAACATGAGTCAGGTGCGCCTACATACAAAAACGATGATCGCGTGACACACGTTAGCTATCACCACGTGCGCCAGAGTGAGAACAATAATTCTAGGGCCTATATTCACAGATATCTCTGAACTGATAACCGGTATGGGCTTTTAAAATTTGGTGTACAGTATTTTGTCGCTGTTTCATGGGCACATGCAATTTTTAACCTGGGCATGTTGGGTATCTATTTACTCATCATAACCTCATCTTTTATATTTTACAAAAACCAATTGGGTATTATATTGTGTTATTGGGTATGAAAATTAACGTAACTGTATTTTTTGCTAAAGGTTTGCATTTGATAAACAGTTGCGCTAATATCATGTGACGTAAACATTTACAGCTGCCCCCATTTTATTCTACAGGGTCTTTGCTTTCAGAAAATATATAATGTGTCGGGGTTTTAAGTAATTGATGTAATCAGGCCTAAAATGTGGATTATAATATATGTGCAAAAAAACACATTAGCAGCAAAAGGGTTAAAGGAATCAAATTTAGGCCGGGTATGCTCATACACCCAACACCTTTGCTGCAACACGTGTCGTCATTGCACAAGTGTGTCCCCCCAGGACAGGTATTGCAGCATTTGTATTTATGGTATTTTATATAGAGCTGACAGTTTACATTAGCCCCTACCCTCAAGGATCTTACAATGTAAAGTCCCCATCTCACATGCATACAGCGAGGCCGGATTTACTCTCTCTGCTGTCCCGAGGCCCGGTTCCTCAATGCACCCCCTCCCAATGAAGAATGGCAACCAGATGGCAGGGGCGGCACGGTTGGTTTTATTTTATTTTTTTTCCTTTATTATTTCCTTTATCACTTTTTATTTATTTATTTATACTTTTCTACATGTTTTAGTTATCTTATCTTTTACTTTTTTTTAACACTTTTAATTTTTTCCACTTAACTTTGTTGCTATCACACAGAAGCTAACAAGTCCCTATGTGATAGCATCTGGAGGTGACAGGTTCTCTTTATTGAACCTGTCACCTCCAAAGCAGGAGTTTGAGCACAGCACTGTGCTGGAACTCCTGTCACAGCTGAGATGGTATGTCTGCGAGTGCAGCTCTCCCGTCTTAGTGTTCAGACAGAGCAAAGCGGAGAACGGACGTTTTCCACTCTCCCGCTTTCCATCCTGAACAGATGTGCCGTGGTCCCAGGTCCCCCAGAAGAGCGGGGGTCCCCAAAAACCGTGGAGAAGGAGGCAGCCAGCTGGGAGAGGGGCAGCCGGCGGGGAGAGAGAGAGGCAGCCAGTGGGTGGGGGAGAAGAGGGGGGAGAGGCGGAGGGGGACAGACCTGCAGGCATATTACAAGTGATCTCAGCAGCATCACTGGGATCACTTGTACTAAACGAGCGGTGACTTCCCTACTCTACATTTAGCCCTGCTTGC